AACAAGTCCATGTTCCAAGCAGCAGGATCCAAAATAAGAGAGATACAGTTGGACAGGGCTGTTGCCGAGGCTGGAGGCCGAGCCCCTGCAGAGCTACCTGCTGTAAGCTCCACCCTCAGCCCAAGACCAGCCAGACATCAGGGAGTGAGGAAACTGGGGTAACAGGGTGCGCCTGGGATAGTACTAGTGTGCAGTTGTGAAACTGTGACCTGCCCAGGCCCCCGCCTCCTGAGCCACTGCCCCTAGATCAGGGCTGGGGACATGGCCAGAGAGGCCTATGCCATGCTTTCCTCTGAGCGCCAGGAAGATACTATTGTTGCATTTCCTTTTCCTTTTTACAGCCCTGGGGGTGAAACCCAAGACCTCATTACAGCATGTTCTAAAAAGGGCGGCAACACCCCCAGTGACCCACCTCCGTCCACAATAGCCTCATAGCTGACTTCCAACAGCAGCCGGAGCTGGGGGTCCATGGTGTGAGCCTGCTTGGGGTGGACCCCAAAGAAGGAGGCATCGAACTTGGACAGGTCCTTCAGCTTTCCAGACCGCTTAGGCAGCCCATAGAGACCTGTGGAGCATCATCATAGCCCCTGAAGCCAGGGAGCCAAGGAGCACCTTCTTCTTGGGGAAGGCTCCCAGAAAGAAGTGATCCGTGACCCAACGTCACTGTGAATGAGGGGTCCCAAAACACCCATATGTATGTGGCCCAAAGCAAAACCTGCCAGAGGTGAGGCTGGTGACTTGCCCCCTGCTACCTCCCTTCTGATGGGAGACCCTCTGCCTGACACGAGCTGGCCAGGCCAGCTGCACAATCACAGAGTTGACTCAGACTTGCACATCAGGTAGAGCCACTCTGGCTCTGTTAGAGCCTATTGGGTGTGAAAGTCAAATCAGCATCTGAGTCTGCCAGCTAGCTCAGGGCATGGGCTGCAGACAGGACTTCTGAGAAGAGTCCAGTCTCCTTCTCTTGCCCAGCTTTGGTGACCTCCATGCAGGACCCAAGCAAGTCTGATTCTGACTGGTTCTCAAACTCACAGCTATACAGGAATCTCAAGAGGCACTGTTTCCAGGAAGTGCCTTGGTCATAGACTCTCAATCTGGTCTGCTGCCTGATCCTGAGGGGGCACTCACCGGCCTTCCATCGCCTGTCATCATCTGTGACCATATCCACACCACCAATGAGGTTGGCCCAGAACTCCTGAAGGTTCTCTGACTCGGGCAACTTCCCCGACATGCCGGCTATCACCACCTCCTCCATGTTTCTTCTCTGTGGGGAAGGTAGCATGGTGGGCCCCACAGTCATTCCCAGCCAAGACATAGCCGTCGTTGCTCAATTGGTTAAGATGGGCCCACAGGTAGTACCCAAGTGTCCGCACTGACTTTCTGAGAGCAAGGTCTCAGAAAGCCTCCAGTGGAAACCAGCAGAACCGAGCCTTAATCACTGGATGAGCCCGGTGCTCATGTCTCTTAGCACTGATAGTTACTTGTAAGGTTTTGATTCCTTCCTTTTGTCCAGGACACCAACTTGACCTAGCCTGACCCCACCATGCCTCGCTGGAACTACCTGGGACCATATGACCTCCAGAAGCCTACTGGGTGTTCCATCCCAAGCTGGTCAAATCAGGAACTTGCCAAGAGAGTTGGGGCTTCAAGAAGCTGGGTCCGGAACCCTTGAAACCATGCTCTCACTTCAAGCCACGGGGAAGCCAGCGCTTCCCTTTCAAGGTGGGGGTGGAGACCCGGTGCTGGTCAGGGCCAGCAAAGACGAGGAGCTTGGTAAGGACTCAAGAGGGAACAGGCCCGACTACTATTGAGTGCCCAAGTCTGTCGGGGCTGAGGCAAACACAGCCAAGGGATCCCTCCAGCAAGATCCGACCAGGAGGAGTACTCCCCGCTAGGTGCGGGGCAGGAACATTCAAAGCCTCTCGCCACCATATAACCTGACCGAGGCAGCAGCAGGGTCTGCATTAGGTCCTCGGGTCCCTAGGGCACTTGCCCAGGACGGTCCAGGCCTTGCAGCCGTGGGTCCGATGTGGAGGATCCGGCGCCACCCTGCCGGCGAGGCCTGGATGGTCCGGTGACTTCCGCTGAGGCCCCTGGGGCCTCGTGCGCACCCAGACCCGCATCTGGCCTCTCGTCTCGGAGCTGGCGCCGGCTTACCGCCGCC